AAGCTGGCTGCGGGCCTAGTAACGATCGCGAAAATCATTTTAAGAATTCTAAAGAGGTCTGACGGCTGTCTTGAAGGTTATAAACCATTATTCGTGTCTTGATCTTCTAGAATTTACCACCACTGTTGCCTCAGGGCGGACATTTGCAATTTGTTTCTTAATTGGGAACTGAATTAACGCAGCGATTCATCCTGCCATTTCCAATTGCTTTTGGTCATTAAGTCATTTTGGTGCAGATTGTCACCTTGATCAAAATAGTTGTAATTTCCTTCGATCTCCCATTAATACCGCCATTGCAATGTCAAAGATTCAATGTATGGAGTGATAAATGGTTAAAGGTTAATCTTGCGGTGTGGGCAATTTCCTGTAGTATGAAATTATCGAGATTCATTTCTTCAAATAAACGTTGACAATGCGTCGCTACAAATTGAACAGGAAAACTTAAATAGGTGGAATTTGTCGAAGAACATTAAGTCGGAATCCTTCATCGTGTCATCAGTAGGTATCTCAGATCGTTCGCATTTCGCTACTTTCATAATCCATAAAGTCAGTGGGGCAGTGAAAGTTTGAACGTTACCATCACTCGCTGAAGGACATAACTTGTATTTTCTCTTGAGCCAGATCCACCCTAAGTTGGACCATGCTATGGCTCTAGCTGCTGACTTCAGCAGGGTTGGTGTTAGTCTGAACTGGGACAGGGGGTAGCGTGGTGAGGAGGCTTGTAAACCTCTGCATTCCACTTCTATCCAGCTGTACACTTAAAACTTAATTGGCTTGTTTTCCAAGCAGTTTCTTTAAATGGTCATGTTTCTAAATCATGGATTACAAATGCATTCATTATCAATCATTTCTCCTATTACAAATAGGTATTTAAAACTATTCTCAGGCTAACTCTTATCGAAACTTAAAATACTCCTAAAAAGGAAAAAAAATTAAAACAAGAAAAAATTCAGTGCCCATCGAAAATGCATATAATGGCATTTAGTTCCAAAATGTCCACGCAATCGCCCTTAAGAATTTATCAATAACAATAATATTTTAATTTCCATTCGCTAGTGTTATTATCAGTCACAATCGAAATTAAGCCTTTTGCATTCAATTTCTTATATTAGAAAGTGGTAATATTTGTACAGAATGGCATCTTTCAAAGTTGACCTTTAAATGACCAAAGTGTCAAGGTCAAGTGTTTCAGAAATCACATTTTAAGTAATAAGTTATACGTCCTCTTCAATTATATGTCCATATATACTTGTTTTGTAAGGGGCTAAAAGAGGGGCTCACTGGCCCATGTCCTTTAAGGACAATTTCAAGTGTTTAACGTATACATAAAAATATTGGTCGAGACTTGAGATAATTTATGCATTGCCATTCAAAATTGAATTTTTCTGATTGGGTTCGATCGAAGCCGAGATGCACGGATATGACCGAGCAATTGCCGGAATTCACGTGATTTTTCACGAAGAAGGGGCGGAGTTTAAGCGAGATTCATCAAGACTTCTTCGTGCCAATAGTGTAATCCCTGCATTGCTTATTGTTTACTCCACCATTTTACCCATATATGGAGATGCCACTTGCGAGAGTGAACTGTTCAGTCTAGAAATTTCTTAAGCGATGTCTTTCTTCGATTTTTCTACTCGATATCTCGATAATTAGTGGACATACCTGTATTTGCACCATTCTTTCTTCAAAATGAAGGTATCGCAAGAATACATATTACCAATCTGTTGGTTAATAGATTTATTCATTGATATTGGCAGAAATTCGATCGTAATAAACATGCTAAAATTGAAAAAATTGGAACATTTGACAGAAATCTCCGAGTAATGTATGAATTGCATCAGGAGAAAAGCTGGGATAGTCTGCTGCGTGGAGTTTGCAAAGGAAGCCCGGATGTAAATGACGTCATCTTAGCAGTTTACATGGTTTCGAAAAGTCAGTTTAGTACTGGGTCTATCTCCCGGGGTTTATCTTTGAACGATTCCTCGTTTATCTAAAATATATTTAGATTTAACCTACAAAGGACAAGTTTGACATAAGATAACATCGATACCGATTCCCTAGACCTACCGGTGAGTGACACACATCAGTAAATCGGTCGAAAAATTGTTTTGAATTGTATATTTTTTCCAAACTTCCACCAACCGTTCTCGAAAATTATTTTTTCAAATTGAACGTCAACATTCAATTTCGCTATAGTCTACCAGCCTACCTACTGAGTAATTGAATTTGTATTCTTTCGTCAAACAATTTCATGTGTATTGCACTGTTTAATCTACACATTGATCTATAACTATAAAGTCCAACTATCAACATACATCAATGGGCAAGAATTTCATCTGCCCTGTCTTATGAGTCACACTATGCACCATTGTTAAGTCTCATCATCCAGGAACAGATACTAGTCAGTCAAACACACCAAACGTGGATGTATAATTGAATGAAAAGATGTTTGAGAGTGGGTTGGGGCTGCAAACCCTAAGGCCCTACTATCATGAAAATATCCATAAGCCTTTGGGAATATGTATAAAAAGATCGAGAGTCGAATACACCAAGTAAAGAGCTGTATTCTCTTTACTTGGTATTCGACTCAATCTTTTTTATACCCTACATTTCCCGGAGCCTATGAAAATATCTTGGTCAATAAAAGTGCATGCTTAACATATAAGTTGAACCCATCTACATGTAAAATATTATCTCAGGACTATAGTTCTTTTCGTGTAGTTGACTCCACAATTGTCTGGGTTTATCGGCAGAACGAAGAAATGTTCGTTTTTGATCGCAATATTTGCGTGTAATATTTAACTTATTTCAACCGTCAAATTCCTCCATATTGGTACTTCCGGGCCACATCCGGGACAGTCAAACGGGGAATCCCCTTTTAAATCCAACCGCCATCTTGGAAAGGGATGGAATCTCTCTCGATGAAAAAGAAAAATGTTCCCGTTCTGTCGATATACCAAGACAATCGGCGGTTCCAATATATTAGAAGTTACATTTTGAGTTCTATAATGCATTGAGGTAGGTATCTTAAGTGTAAGGGGCGTAGATAATTCTCCAAAGTTGTAATCGTACAGGCAAAAGAATGCGCTCGCTACAGGACTATAGTCCTAACACGGGATAAAATACAACTAAATGGTGTAATAAACTTACATCACATATAGGCTACTGTAAATTGTTTTAATAAGGCTGGTCAATAAAATGTGGATGTTGGCTATCCAGTACTTATCCTGTACCAGGACGACTATAATCCTGGATTGACTATTAAGATTGGGGACAAATGAACACTTCTATCAAGTCGGTCTGATTCTTAACAGCCATTTGATAGTTTTGATTTTTTGTCAGCCCAATTACTGCATCAATATGTCGGTCTGATTCTTAACAGCCATTTGATAGTTTTGATCTTTTGTCAGCCCAATTATTGTATTGTATTGTATTGTATTGTATTGTATTGTATTGCATCTTTATTTCCTCCTTATGAATTATACATAGCATGGTCTTAGGTGGAAGTCATACTTTTGAGTGCTCCTGATAATCTTAGCTTTCTATGAGATACAGGGTGACCGGAAAAAAAGGAGACCATTGAAATAGGCAATATCTCCTAAAATAGACTAGTGACATCAATGAAATTTTGCATACATCAGGACAGTTCTATGGAAATTTGTTCCTGAAAGTGTCAATACAAGCAGTCAACTGGTTCAGGAGCTATGATCATTTACATAACATGCTCCAAATAGGCGCAATTGAGACCAACGCAGAGCTGGATACATTTGGCAAATACCCTTACATATTCCGACCTTGTTATGGCATTACATTTAGCATTTATTGCCACCTTTAGGTCAGCAATTGTCTCAGGATTGTTTTGGTACACATTGTCTTTCAAATTGCCCCACAAAAAGAAATCAGGTGGATTCAAATTTGAGGTGTATGGAGACGAAGCTTATCTGACCTATGGCTTCTGACTCAGTGGTCCCACTCAGTTACAGTATCATCCTAAGGAGGTTTTGGGCAGCCCTTGGTTTCCATATGGGATTTAATTGTGCCATATAGTGGTTTTAGTAACATGGCACTATGCCCAATACCTAAAGTGACTCTTAAGATTTGGTAAATCAGCACTTTGGCAACAGGATGATGAACCACATGTCAGATAACCCTTCATTGCCATTACAGCCTAGACTTGAATCCTGCTGATTTCTTTTTGTATGGATATTTGAAAGACAATCTATACCAAAACAATCCTCAGACTATTGTTGACCTAAAGAAGGCAATCACTGCTATATGTAATGCCATAATAATGCCATAGAGGGCAGAACATGTAAGGGTAGTTTGCCATATGAATCCAACTCTGCGTTGGTCTCAATTGTGCCTATTTGGAGCATGTTATGTAAATGATCATAGCTCCTGAACCAGTTGAATGCTTGTATTGAAACCTTCAGTAACAAATTTCCATATAACTGTTCCAGTGTATGCAAAATTTCATTGATGGCACTTGTCTAGTTTAGGAGAAATTGATTACTTCAATGGTCTCCTTTTTTTCCGGTCACCCTGTATATACAATATAGGATATGTAAACTTAAACTGAGACGTTCGTAAACACACAGGGAACATTTTAAGCAGCTTTTTGTGATGTACAAATATCACAAATAAAGGATTTTTAAAGATACTTTTTTGCAAAAGTGTAAGAGTTTCTAGTTGAAGTAAACATCTTTGCACATAAACAGTGACTTATCCAGGTAATTAGACACTTAACACGTGTGAAAGGTGTGAAGTTTAAGAGCCATAAACAACACTAGGGATAGTAAGTGGCCCTGAAGTGGCCTAACTAGCGCTATGGAGGCTGGAAGTAGCAATGTTAGCTTGTTACTTGGATCACCAACACAAACACTAGACTTATACCAGAGTCAGGTGATGCCAATGTCACCTCCATCACAGTCTCCGAATAGGGAACTCCGATCAGAACTTCGTTGAGAACATCCCTGAAACTCAGAACACCTATAGTAAGAGCCTCCACTAAACCCAAGAGAAAAACTGCCACTAAAAGTTTGAAATCTAAACCTAACAGCAATGACACTGATTCTAACGTAATCCAACTTTTAACTTCTATGATGACGGATATGAAATCCTCCATTGATGATCTCAAGGACAGCATGAAATCGATGAAGGATGACTTACATGCTGCAAATCACCAACACCGATCTTGTATCACAACTAGCGGCCAAAACAGTGGCTTTTAAGGAACTGGACGATGAAAATGTGTACTTACGTAAGCAACTGATTGCATGTAAATCTGACTCATCAACTTCCAAAAAAGGCACTCTTGTGGTAGGCAGCTCTATTGTTAGGGACTTCGACAGTGATAAACTGGTCAATACTGATGTTGAATGTATTCGTGGAGGAAAGATCAAGGATGCCCACAAACACATTACCAACCTAGATAAACCATATGACAGGATTATTTTCCAAATTGCCAGTAATGATGCCGCAGAAAAGGATGCCACTGTCAAGGGCATCACTGACGAATATAATACCATGCTAATTGGAGCCAAGAACGTTTGCAATGATATTTATGTATCCAGTGTCACACCCCGTACTGACAAACCCCCTGTTCAATCCATTATAGAGGGGGTAAATGCTGAGCTAAGTGAACTGTGCCAGAAGGATCCCTCCCTCACATTCATCAATAATGATGAATCATTTAGACTGCAAAACAACACAATCAACAATGGATTCCTTGACGCTAGGGGTCTCCACCTATCTAAAGCTGGCTCAAATAGTCTCGCTAGAAACATGAAACTTTCAGTTAAAGCCAGTCATCAGCAAGACATCACTAAACCATACCAACACCGCCGTCAGTCCCCTAGAGTTAACACTGATGCCCATTATCCCCCTACACCCCAGGACAATGGGGAATGGCAAACTGTCCCAACAAAAAGCACCAGGAGCAGCAGACCACAAAAGTCCATCCCAAGTCATCGCCATAGGGACAATTATCATGCCAATACCAATGACTCAAACCCTACCTGCTTTAAATGTGGCGAATCTTCTCACTTGGCCAGTACTTGCTGGCACCCCTCATCTGTCCGATGTTACGGCTGTAACCAGCTTGGACACAAGGAATCCAGGTGCCCTTCTTCCTCCAATGGAGGCAAATAGGTCTTAGGTCATGGTCTGGCCTTACCCCCTATGCATCATCACAGAACATTTAATAATCAAAGTAAAAGGACTCATAGGCGTGGTAAACAAATGAAACATTTTAATCTATTTACACCTATTCATATAAAACATATATACGCGCATTGGATTAGCATGATTTAAAGAAAATGTCTATGTGTGCTAAGTGCTAAGCCCCTTGCACACGAAAGAATAAACTCGGTAAATTGAGTATCATCGAGTTGAAAGTCAACTCTGCTGCCAAGTATTGTTTCTAAGACTATATTTTCCTCCATGTCGAGTAATTTGACACAATTTTCTACGGACAGGGAGTTGAAAATATAGTTTTCAATGAAATCATTCTTTTCATTTATAAGTTCACCACATTTCATGAAATGTGTGACTATCGAGCCAGTAAAATCTTTGCAACGTTTACATTGATATAACCTAAATCTTGCAGGTGTGGTCAAATACAATATGTGGGCTAATTCCCAAAGTTGCTCGGTAGCCTTTTAACCAAGTGTCCATAAAACCGAAGGTTCTATTGACAATTGTACATTCGAAAAGAAATTTCAATAAAGAAAATAATTAAATCTGTATCTTGATTCTATTCCCTATAAAGTCCGCAACATTTCAATGTTATATCTCCATTACATTGGGTAAAAATTTGATGTCAAAATTGATGAATTTCATGAAATTTAACAAAAATGGCAGATCCCATGTTAAACATAGAAATGACCTCATATCCCCAAAAATAAAATGATGTGTTTGCATGTTAAAGCAGTGCTATCATTGATTTATAAGAAATTGAATCTTTAAATTTCTTAAAATAGATTAGCTATTTATCAATTATTACACACTGTCGGATTGATTTTCTATTGTTAAGTTGAATTTGACCCCAATACATGCTGATGTAGTGTTTTCGACAATTTTACAGCTTTGTCTACCACATGTAGTGAACAACATTAAATATACCTTGTATCAAGCACAAAAACGTATTTGCACCCTTTACTAAAATGGCAACCCCTCTATCAAGCACTTGTTTATACTAAAAATATAATTAGAATTTGAAAACTGTAAGTCTTACCATTTATTTGATTTTGATGTGGAAAATTTATCTTCTTCATCTCTGATATTTCTGAATTATATCAAATGTTTTCATTGATTAAATATATTATGGTGATTTAATTTTGTTTTGCAAAGACTCGTGCAATTATGAAAATATTAAAGGTCGAGTGCCCGGAAATATTAACACAATTGAACATGTTGAACAACTAATATACGAGGGGTGATTCAAAAGTAATGGACAAAATTGTATAGGCATACTAAATTTCACCCAATCAGTCTAATTTTTTCACAGTGAATAGATCAATCAATTCTCTACTTTGTGTCGAATTCTCATTTAAATGCATTTGAAATTGTTTCAGCTATGCGTAACCATGGTAACAAGGGTAAGCATGGGTGGAATTGTTTTTTTAATGATAATTGAATGTTTTTGTCATTTTTGCTTGATTTCATTTTAATGACTCAATTACCACACATGATATGTCTAACAAGCATGGTAATGCAATTGTCAAGCAAGACTCACATGCCCATGTGTTTGCTGTTGATCATGAGTTCTAAATTCAGCAACCAATTGTGCTATGACATAACAATGATATTTCTAAGAATGATGAGTCACAGTGAGTCAGAAAGTAGATCAGACTCTTAGACTCACACACATCCAAGAAATGTCTACTTTACAACAAATCAAAGTTAAGCAAGGGATTGTTATTGAATATTTGGTAGCTACTGGAGAGACAAGGCAGGCAGTTGTCAAGAAAATAAAAGAGACACATGGAGACCCTTAAGATGGCATTAAAGGGACAATCCTTTCAGACATTAGCTGAGCTGCAAATGGCTGTACAAAAACAGCTGAACACCATGGCTGCTGATGGATTCGGGCATGTGTTCTCTGCATGGGTGCGCCGACAGAAGAAAGTTATTGAACTTGGAGGAGAATACATTGAGGATTGAATATAATTCAAATGGATGATCATCACGAATAATAAGGAATGATATGGATTATTATTAACTTACTGCGATATGCTTTTCATATACATCTTGCATTGCAAAATATATTGCACCAGCAAACTTTTCATTGAAAATCCATTTGTTATTATGATGAAAATAGCCTTAAAAATGGATTCCGGGTGTATGCATTATGATCCAAGAGAAGTGCTCCATCTCAAAATGTATTTGCATTTAGTTAATAAAGTTTTAACATCTAATAGATAATTGATTAATCTTTATTTGTACAAAGTCTCATTCAAATCTGGTAAAGGTAAGCGTGCCTATAAAATTTTGTCCATTACTTTTGAATCACCCCTCGTACATACTTTTTGTGGCTTGGTTGAATGGATATGAATCCCAAGTTCCGCTGTGTCTCATCAAATAAACATTAGAGTGACCAGGATTATGTCAAGCGGAGTTTATAATTTTTGTGCAAATTTTCTTCTTGGATCGAAAAATTTCATTTTAATTCGATTAATTTACGATGGGTGGCAAAAGGTCTAAAGGTAGGTCACGTGACGCAGTCGAACGAAACTGAAACTTCTTTCGTCGATATCTACATGTAGGTGAGTGATTTTTTTCAGACTCCGGTATTTTGACAAAAGTAAGTTCAGGTCATAGTCATTCATCGGGGCAGGTTTGAGGCACCAACGGTTTATTTTGGAGGTTTTCTAAGGAATTATTCCCGATTTCCGGCTACTGCACCTTTAATGCAAGGTTGAAGAAATATTCTTGTAATAGTAATTCATTTCTTCAGATTCAATCATTTAATTCATTGATGAATTCATATATTTGAAAAAATTGACAAAATGTTTTATGTGATGTGTTTAGTTGCTGCTTCTCTCTCATCATTAAAATTCCCATCCGATTAGTAAACCCATTAACCTTGATGACGTCATACATTTTTTTGTTCTCCGATTAACATACACATCCTGTTTTAATCCGTTTAATAATGTTATAGCGTCTAATCAACTTATTAAAATAAACAGAAAAAGTACCAAGGGCCAACCGGATGTCATAATCTCCTCAAATTACCAAGGTGGCCCTGAGTAAGTAAAATTTAAGTCAAGTTTTATAACTTCACAATACAAACCAATGTGTAAATTCAGTATTCAGACGAAATAAAGAAATAAAAGGGGGTTTAGATAAGTAATACAGTACTCAGACAAGAGTTATGTTATTCAGAGTTTCTCAGAGATGTTCGTGAACCATCATTATCATATGCTTCATTCTCATCTTTTCTCGTGAAATCTTTCTCAGTATCAAAGTGAGTTGGGTTCTTAACAGTAACCTCGGAACATCGCAGTAATGCAAAAAATGAAAGTGTCATCGCAGACCAAAACGTTATTGTGTTATGATCCAAACTGCGATGTAACACTTCCAATTTCTTCATTATGCTATGGTCAATTGCTAACTTCCGATTGAGAGTATTATCTTGAGAAACATTCATTTTATGAATATAAATACACATATGCTTCATTCAGATACAGAACTTAAACAAGCGGATGGCGTCGTAGAAAATTATAAGTGGGAGTCAAACACTGCGTCATCATCATTATCACGTTGGGGAATGAGTAAACGGTTAGAGTCTGGCGAGTATGTCGTATAAAAAGTATTCTATTATACTGGTACGACGTATAGAGTAACACTTGCCAGGTGTAGTATCAACGGGGAAAATAAAAGGAAAGTAGTCACTTGAAATATTTGAGGTTTACTGGAGAAAAAGTATTAATCTATTTGTTAAACTAAAATTTAACGCTTCAATAATAATGAATATATTATTTTATAAACATATATCATTTTATGTCATGTGCATGAGCCCATTCTTTACTGTAAATATATAGTAACTTCGATAGCTCTTCATTGTATCTCACTACAGACAATTAAATTTAATTATTATCGAGACAAGTGAGACGGGTATTCATTACCACAATGGCAGAAAAAAGCCAGAGAAAATGCGACATTTATAGCTTCCATGGAAATAAAATGCAATGTTTACATGGCAACTCTATCATCTATATAGCTAATTACCATTGTCATTATTCAGATTATTGAAATATACTACTGTCAACAAAAGCGAATAGAACAAACAAGGTGATATATCCTAGTAACAATATGATACAAGATCGTTTTATTCTCAGTCAAGTGCATTAACACGGAACTCGCCTTGTTTCTCAATAATATAGTCTCTAAATAGCCGAAAATGAATGAAAACCAGTGCTGCCATCTTTAATTCAGAATTTTTCTTGGACCAGACTTCCATATTAAGATCTTCGAAAATGGACTTTATTTTATGATTTATCAAAAAGTGTTGGTTGAATATATTTAAAACTTGATTGATATATCATGTGATGACTCTTTTACCATACTTATTCTGATTTATCATCAAGATTTTGGATTGTTCAACTAATAAACCAAGGTTTCTAGAGAATTTAAACATTGCATCAATGGAGATTTTGCCCAAGTTTAAAAAAGGCATGGAAAATGATTTAAATAACATAATAATTGCACAAATTACATTTGTTGATGTACATGTATCAGCCTAGCAAAACAAGACTTCTTCCTGCTTACGTTATCAGCTGATCGTTTCTGAGATAATATAAAGAATACGAGAATGCATTAATAAATATCAAAATAAATTGTGTATTCCTGTCAACACTGTACATAATACCCAGACATATTTTCTAAAAACAGATAATAAAGATGAATGATATGAATGAATGAAGATAAAATGAAAAATTGTTCTGTCAATTGAATATATCATGCTCTAGGTAAATACCACAAAAACGAACGGAATAAAATTTCTATTTAAAGTCATCTGTCATCTATAGTACTATAGACTAGAAACTAGAAACATATGAAATGCTTATTATATTATAGGTTATATTATATCTACAATCCTACAGCATTCGAAATTGAAAACGATTTTGCTGACGTGTTTATAAAACGTTTAATATTGACGTCGCTGTTTTGATTTCAACCTTTGGGTAGATTGTTTTTTTACATCCAGTTGAATTGAACAATGTTTTGATAAAGTAAATATATTAATATGCCGTGG